CTCATATACGTCTCATAACCGCAGTTCACACATATGAAACATATGTGTGAACTGCGGTTATGAGACGTATATGAGCACGATCCTTCGCAGTAAAGCACTATTTGAGCAATAGTGAAAATCAGACCTGAAAAAAATTTCAGGCCTGTACGGGATTCGAACCACTGACCTCTGCGATACTAGTGCAGCGCTCTACCAATTGAGCTAACAAGCCAACTGGGAGCAGGCCATCAAATTAATTCGACATAAACCCGTAGATGATAAATCAAACAACAACAAACATATGAAACATATGTGTGAACTGCGGTTATGAGACGTATATGAGCACGATCCTTCGCAGTAAAGCACTATTTGAGCAATAGTGAAAATCAGGTCAGTGGTTCGAATCCCGTACAGGCCTGAAATTTTTTTCAGGTCTGATTTTCACTATTGCTCAAATAGTGCTTTACTGCGAAGGATCGTGCTCATATACGTCTCATAACCGCAGTTCACACATATGTTTCATATGTTTGTTGTTGTTTGATTTATCATCTACGGGTTTATGTCGAATTAATTTGATGGCCTGCTCCCAGTTGGCTTGTTAGCTCAATTGGTAGAGCGCTGCACTAGTATCGCAGAGGTCAGTGGTTCGAATCCCGTACAGGCCTGAAATTTTTTTCAGGTCTGATTTTCACTATTGCTCAAATAGTGCTTTACTGCGAAGGATCGTGCTCATATACGTCTCATAACCGCAGTTCACACATATGTTTCATATGTTTGTTGTTGTTTGATTTATCATCTACGGGTTTATGTCGAATTAATTTGATGGCCTGCTCCCAGTTGGCTTGTTAGCTCAATTGGTAGAGCGCTGCACTAGTATCGCAGAGGTCAGTGGTTCGAATCCCGTACAGGCCTGAAATCTTTTTTCAGGTCTGATTTTCACTACTGCTCAAATAGTGCTTTACTGCGAAGGATCGTGCTCATATACGTCTCATAACCGCAGTTCACACATATGTTTCATATGTTTGTTGTTGTTTGATTTATCATCTACGGGTTTATGTCGAATTAATTTGATGGCCTGCTCCCAGTTGGCTTGTTAGCTCAATTGGTAGAGCGCTGCACTAGTATCGCAGAGGTCAGTGGTTCGAATCCCGTACAGGCCTGAAATTTTTTTCAGGTCTGATTTTCACTATTGCTCAAATAGTGCTTTACTGCGAAGGATCGTGCTCATATACGTCTCATAACCGCAGTTCACACATATGTTTCATATGTTTGTTGTTGTTTGATTTATCATCTACGGGTTTATGTCGAATTAATTTGATGGCCTGCTCCCAGTTGGCTTGTTAGCTCAATTGGTAGAGCGCTGCACTAGTATCGCAGAGGTCAGTGGTTCGAATCCCGTACAGGCCTGAAATTTTTTTCAGGTCTGATTTTCACTATTGCTCAAATAGTGCTTTACTGC